GAGCGAGTGTCTCCATTCCGCGCCGGCTCGTCAGGACATTAAGATAATTACTTTCCAGCGGCGGGATGCGGCGTCATTGTACGTGTTACCGCGTCGAGAATGGCATTACGCTATTGTGACGAAGAAAGCTTGCGCGGGCTCGCCGCACCACGCCGCGCGAGATGGTGCGAGCGCGCCACTCTGTATAACTCAGCAATAGCGGGGGTGGAAGGGAAGCGTTACGCTTCCGTCGAGGTGCCTGCTCGCTCTCTCATTCGAGGTGTCTTCCGACACACGAGTAAACGTCAGCAGGAGAGAAGAGGTAGCGCCCGGGTTGTCACGCGTTCTCTTGTTGGCGACGCCATTAATGTAATTATTCCCATCGACTGTTCTGAAGCCCGGCGGAAGCGGAGTCGAGACTCCGAATCGCGCCGCGGACCGGGACGATAAAAGGAGAGAGAGAGACAAAGAGAGAGAGGGGGGAAGAGAGCCTCGTGTCCCTCGAGATAATTGAATCGCAACGCCGCAATTCGCAATTTTTTTGCGACACGCCGATGAAACCACAGGCGTTTAGATGATAAAACGAAAAGTGGAATGGATTGTCGAGGGTGAAACGCAGGCATCTACAATGCATCGAAGTAGAGGCCGAAACATGCTTTCGGATTATCTACGCATATCTTTACACAATCGAGACGGCTAAACGGAAATGAAAGATATTGGAGATAGGAAGTACTGGTATGCAAATATACTTTATGAATTATAGACAGTTAATTATATTCCAAAAGCATTGATTTTTTTTAGCTAGGTGTCAAGTTTTAAGTATTGGTGCAGTACGAAAAGAATTGCATAGTATTGTGATTAACCTGCATGCAAAAGCATGAAAGTTAAATGGCGAAATAGAAATGAACAATAAATCACTAAGCATTTTCAATATTTCATATGAGTAAAACAAGTGTTTGGCAGCGGATAACGTCGCTGACTTCAATGTATCAGTTTGTTAGGCTAGATGTTTCTCCTGAATCCGTTCTCTAAATTTCTGTGTTCATTACAATTAAATTTCGTTTTCTTGTTGATAGTATTAAGCTGTACAGTATATGAGATGAGGAAAACATAAGTTAGAAAGTGTGAGGATAATACGAACAGTCTAGGATTTTAATTTTTATTTTAACTCCAAGTGTGTCATGTCTTGCGATAATATTTCAATCAAAGAGGATGGTTTCGGATTTATTCCGAGGTCACGTAACGTCGTATTTGATAAACCATGTGAAATCGTCAGAAGGTATTACAAAAATTGTTATTTGTGTATAGAGAAGTATTTAACTTCTTTGCCATCACGCATTATTATCAGGTTATTTCATAACTATTAGTCAGGCAAATGTTAAATGCTTTGAACAAATTATACATGACGACGCAACTTTACGAGATCTGCATAGAAAATGTAACAAACGCGTTGTTACATGAGAAAATCGCTCAAATATCTAATGAACATGTCATTCTAATGTAAATGTGTGTCATGTGTTTCTGACGTGGACAGGTATACACTGACGAATAAACACAAAGCAATTGTCCGTTTGATATCCTGGGGCGCGAGTATCCAATCGATTAAAGTCCCCAATCGAGATGGCAACTTGACTGATGTTGTTCTGGGATTCGATGATACGGAGGGTAAATATTTGATTTAAATAAGTTCTCTTTTCCAAAAACGAATTAGCTGAACGAATACAAAAGTGCCGAGTTTCTTGTCTCATCAAATAAAACACATATTATTGTGTCCAATGTCTTTAATTTAGCAAAAGATTAGAAATGGTGTAGCGTATGGATTTTCTAGATCACTTACGTTTTAAGTGATATTTGATCGTCATCGTTAACGTAATTAGGATATTTGAGGAACAGATATATGGGAAGCATTATTGGCCGTGTCGCCAATCGCATTACCGGCGGTCTGATGAATCTTAACAACGAAACCTACCCTTTGTCGATTAACGATGAGACTGGCAAGAACCATCTCATTGGCCAATACCATGGCGGTATGGTCGCGTTCGACAATGTTAATTGGCAGTCGCAGATAGTGGACAATCGAGTAGTAGGATCTAATTTATTCCTTAAAATTGATCACAAAGCTGTTAAAGTTTTTGCTTCTTTTATATCATATTTTTCGACGAGGTGATGTCGCACTTAAGCCAAGACAATAGCGAAGGATATCCCGGTTATATGTTGACGCAAGTCAAGTACACCTGGACGGACGATAATCAACTTCACATTAATATTCACGTCACTGCCACGAAACCCACTCCTGTCAATGTCACTAGTTATTGTTTATTCAATCTTGCCGGACATGTAAGACATGAACGTAAAGCTTTGTTTTACTCGGGTATTTCTATATTCGATACTTAAGTTCCTGAATACTATCTAGATATTCGGGTATTATTCAAGATAGTTGGATATTTCTGGAATAAAAAATCGCGAATAATATCTACCTGCCATCTGTTATTAATTTTGCTAGCAACAAATTTTGCATAATATGATTCTTTAAGATATTCTTTAAGACTATATCTTTGTAATATTTTATTGTTTTTTCAAAATATATTTTAATAATGGTATTTGAGTAATTTTTATCTGAATAATTTTTACAGTAATCAGTTACCTAAACAATACCGTGCAATATTTGATAGATTTCTTTTATTATTCTGATAGTATCAAAAAACACCCAAAAATACTTGGATTTTGATATCATTACTAAAAAGTATACTATACTCTCACTGATCGAATTTCTTTCATTAAAAAATTTAATAATTGAAAAAGATGCATTTTCTAAATTTTCTAAAAGGAAAATATTACTCTGTTTGGTCTGGGAATACTTTTTAATTAATTGTTATGAGATAACTTGGATATTTGACTTGAATTTTCTTAAAACCCCATTGAGTGAGTTCGACAGTAGGGTGCAGGTCCAAAAGAATTGAAAAAGCACGTTCTCACGGTCAACGCCGACAGTTGGACTTTTACGGATGTGCAGGACAACTTGCCGACTGGCATTATATCTCCGGTCGACTGTACAGTATACGAATTATGTGTACCGACTCAGTTGAACCGACGTCAATTATTCAAAATACCAGGTGGCGGTTATAATCACAATTTTTGCATCAATAGTCCCAGCTATTGGTGTTATCGTTTTCATGCTCGGTAATATATTTTAGAATTTTATTCGATCTTTCAAATCTTGTACATAATATGTTCTTTGTGGCGATTGTGTATGATTAAAGGCGTTTGATTGAAGTATATTATTATGTTTCACTTTAACATCAAGAGAATATTGTTATATGCATAAAATCTATCTCAGTATATTAGTTTTTAATAGATTTGTATCATTGTTATATGGAAAGAATTTTACATCCTTCTTCCGACGATTTTTGGAAGTTTACTCGAACCACCCTGGTTTACAAGTCTATACAGGCAATGAACTGCCAGATGCTGAACGCATTAATCTCTCTGATTTACAAATTGATTCTTTCGAATCGGTAAATATAAAATTGAAGCTTGCCTATGATCAGTGATCTTCTCAAAAGAAATATTAATTTTTATGTATTATCTCACTCACACACATATATATATACACACACACACACACACACAGGTGACGAAAATCGAGATAAGAAAAGCTGAGAAAATTTATGGCAAAGGAGGTCTCCCTTATTATCGTCATGGTGGATTTGCACTGACGCTCAGAATTATCCCAACGCTGTTAATATCGAACATTTTCCACCATGTCTGTTGTATCCTGGCAATATGTATATACATGACATGACATACAAGTTTGGAGTGTTTCCCGAAAGTTTTTAAAAATAAATTACATTTTATATTTTTCAAAATATATTTCTGTCTTGAAATACTATGAGAAACCGTATCTTTCCTTTAAAAGCAAGCTCTCTTGCAATTCAAAATTTTGAATATATTATATAACATCTTGTGCAACTAGAAATTTATTAGAGATACAACAGAAATGTAAACTTGTCGCTCGCAAGATCTTGACACGAGATGAAAAATAAAGGCAATATGGTTTTAATAAACTCTTTTCACATCTTTTTATTATACGAGTTCTGGCATATTCTTCTGTTTTATACATAATTAATATCCTTACTGTTATTGGCACGAAATGTCGTAATGTATCATCAAGCAACCACGTGTCGGTGATATGTATACGAATTTCTCTTTGAGATTTGAGCGCAAAATGTATTCATCTTGCGCGCGAAACTACAGTCATGCCACATATTTTGTTTCGAGCTAAAATTTATAAATATATAAAGCTACGTTTGCGTATATCTGTGTACATGTGCGTTCGTTCGCTTAAAGCTATAGTAATCTAGCGTTTGTACATCTCTAGTCTTTGTTACTTCTAATCTAATCTAATTGTGTTGCGTTTGCGTAACAATTGCAGGCAGTAGATCAAGAGAACGTTGTTATGTATTTCACGTTCGTAAACGACACTCGGAGAAAATCTTGCGTTCCGACTATATTTTATTTCTCTTAATTAAATCGATGCACAAGAAAGTTAATTGCACTAATGAAACTTACGTGAAAATTATTTCGATACGCGCGCGAGTCAGTATAAACGAGTAAGTCGAGGAGAGAAAAAGGATAAGGCACTTGATACGCACATTGGCAGTGTAAAAATCTCGCAGATATAACACGAGTTTGTAGTCATGAGGGATCGTTATTGTTCGTGGATAAAATATTTATTATCTGGCAGTTAAATGAGGCAATTTGTGCGCGTGAACGCAAAAGATCGTGGTCTATCGTTGTTCCATCAAAACGGATCTTTAATCGTCCGAGGACTCGTGCTTGATTGATCCTCGGAGACCACTCTGTTTTTCGCGACTCTCCTTGCACGTTGACATTCCCGGTACTTTTAATACTTCGCCACAGCTCGAAATAATTCCGCAAAATTGACTAAGAAGAAGCGTAACGCGGTGTGGGCAGTGTTTTCTCACGGAATCCAATTGTCACCGGTCCTTTTCCGTGACATTTCATTCCACGACTATTAGATGAACTCTAAACGTTAGCGGTTTCTCCCATTCTTTGCTCGCCGTCGTTTCGTTCTTGGGACGACCGTGAATCACTATGCGAAACTCGCTGGGACTTTTCAGTCGATGCCGGAAGTGCAAGGCAGAAATCCCGCGTTCCCTGACTATCTCAAAATGGCCGTCGTTGTTGCCACGTACGATGGTGTAGTCCATCTCTTCGTCCTGTAAATTAACGATTGTTACAAAGCGGATAGTTTATTAGAATGACATCATATATCATCGTAATAAGATTTCTAAGTACTGATTGAAGTAACGTCTTTCTTCCTTTAATTATTTAAAATTATGCAGAAATTACTTTAATGGCGGATTTCAGCTTAATAATCCGCGTACGATGTCTTGTCTGACGCAGGTTGACTTTGAGAACATGTTCCATTCCGTGATTATGTCTCTTCGCTTTAGCACTTCGACGTTTCTTCATTCTGATATCTTTATCTGCCGACCTATTCTTAGTATTTCTTCTGTGTCGTCCGTTACCGTTTACCTAAACCGAAAATTTTTATTATCCAGTTATCATATCAACTGAAAGAAAGTCGCAAACGCGATGTACAAACCTTGCATGAGAAGCATCCTTCTGTGGAAATCGTCTTGTCGTCAGCTGGCGGTATATGGTATGGATCAGAATTGATCTGGAAAGTCGGCACGTTGCCGATCTCTTCGCCGTAGCGTCCTTGAGACAACGGATTAATGGTGGACAGACAGTGACCCTAGAGAAAAATATTGTGATATTTTTTTAGTACTTGGAACAGAATGTCAGCTCCGTTATTTTATAATTTATATGATTCAAGGACAAACCTGCCCTATTCGTTGGTAACCAGTAGGACAGCCGCAAATAAATCCGCTGGCTCCGTTAGGAGTGCATCCGAAAGCGCATGGGCTGCCTAAACATCCGGCACTCACCTTTATAGAAGAAAAATTACAAGATATATTTCTTCTATATTTTTCTTCTATTCTTTTTTTTTTTTTTTTTTAGAA